TGAGTGGAAGTGGCCCATGTCACTTCCGCACTAAAGCCTCCCACTGCTCTTGAGGACTCAAAGGAGTCCTGAGAACACTCCTGTGTTCTTGTCCTTATCAGTGACTGAGGGCTGTACTGCAGATGGCACAGCTTCTCCAGTTCTCCAGCACAGCTCCCAGAAATTCAAGCATAAGAAAGAAACACAATTTTGTTCCAGGGAGCCTCTGACATAGTGTTGCTGTGTGTTACTGTCCCCACTAATAGTCTCCAAAGCACGTAGGGACATTAGGCAGCCTTTTAGCACTACGCTGTGATTGATTTCAGAATTATCAATAAATTTTAGCAAGTAGACCAATTTACACATATAAATATATAACTATTGAGCATCAACCATATTTTTAAAGGAGTTGAAACTTAAATTCCTCAGATTAACATATTTACTTAATAGATGGGGAAAGTGGTTAAGGAATTAAAATGTCCAAATCCTTGACTCAACCCTGTTCCCAGTCCTGAGAGCCTCACAAGAAGCCCACATGAGCCATCTCGGGCATCTGCATAAACACGGTAAGAAAAATAGTCCCCCATCCCACCCCCATGCGCCTCCCTCGTTGTGGACAACTCCTGAGAGGTCCCGGGTGACACTTCTCCAGCTTGTGTCTTGTCGAGTGGGTGACTCAGTACATTACCCCCGCCTTGAAAACTCCCCGGGACTTCCCCTCCCCTTGCCGTCCCTGCACCCCGGCGGAAAATCCCGGACCAATCACCTGCTCGAATGCAACCTGTAGTCTGCCAAACTGCCTAGCAACCAATCAGAATGTAATCGTACCCAATCGCACCCCTCTTGTTTTCTGTACCCTATAAAACCTTGCTGAGAGCCAAGGAAGGGGCTCTTCCTCGGTGTGCTCACCAGGAGAGTCCAGGCCCGAGCTTGCATAAAGCTTGCCTCATGATCTTTGCATAGGACTGTGTCTCAGACTAACTCTGGGGAGATTGGGAAAAATCCAGGCACAACACTCCCACAGTCAGAAAGTTATTGCTCTCGATGAAGCAAAATCTATCTTCCTATAAGTCCTTTACCCGGGCAGAGCTCTTCCTATCATTCCTACTACTCTGACCAAAGTTAATTCTTCTGCTACCTGATGGATATTCAAATACAGTCAGGCATCACATAACAATGGGAACAAGTTCTGAGCAGTATGTCATTAGGTGATTCTGTCACTGTGTGAACCTCACACGTGTGGAGCGACACACAAACCTCCACAAACCACCCTGGGGCTGTGTGGAACAGCCTCGTGCTCCTGGGCTAGATACCTCTGCAGGACATTACTGTAGCACCTGTAACACAGGGTATAGATTTGTATATCTAAACATAAAACTGCCTATGTCTGACCTTCATGTACGCAGTCCAGTGTTGACTAAAGCATCGTGTGGCATGTGACTATAATTAAAGACAGTCAGGTTTTCCCTCACCCAGGTGTCGCACTACCAGAGACAACAATACTTAAACTACAGATATACCGGGTCCACATCCTGTCATTTGAGACAAGATAGGAGTTTACTCTGAGCTACAGGCAGAAGGGAGATCTTCGTTTTCTTTGTGTCAGAGTCTTAACAGGAGCTACTTCTCTAGTGGTAAAAATGAGCAATGTTTAGGGCACTTGTTTGGTGCCAGACCTGGCCACAGCCCTGTGCACGTGTCCAGACATTCATCCTCCATCTAAGGAAGTAGGTGCTAGCTCAGTGTCTCCATTCTGTACAGATGAAGCAGGTCTTGGCTTGTTGTCTCCATTCTGTACAGATGAAGGAGGCACTAGCTC